TTCTTCTTTTTGTATTTTAGGGAAGGGTCTACAGGGTGTTCAGGGTTTCACTACTAGATCAGACTGGTGGTCATCCACCTGTTTACAGCCTTGGAAGTGCTGGGATTTCAGGCCTGTGCCACCACACCCAGTCTCAATTGCCATCTCAGCATACCCGTTGGGGCCAGTATGGCAGGCCCCGGGATCAAACCCCCAGCCCCTGCCCCTGCTTGCAAGCACTTTAATCTGCTGAGCTATTTGGCCGGCCAGGCAATAAGACCAAGAAATAAGTTGGACTTTATCAAAATGAAGTTTTTGTACTTCCTAGGACATAGCCAACAATGATAATGCAACTCCCAGGATGAGAGAAACTATTTTGGCATATGGCTGATATGTAAGTTCAGAATACATGAAATGTCCTACAACTCATCAACACAATTAAAAGACTGGCAAGGGGGCTGGGGAGATGGCTCAATAGAATAAAAGCTTGCTTGGCAAGCGCAAGGGCCTGAGTTCAATCCCCGATTCTGAAAAATAAAATAAAATAAAGTAAAATAAAAGATTGGCAAAGAACTTGAGTTCATGTTTTCTAAAGAACAGTCATAAGAACCACAAAGATACAAAAATTTGCTCAACGTCAATAGCTGTTAGATAAGTACAGACCAAAACTGTTGTGCAGCTTGGTGAGGTAGTGCGTCCTTCTAATTCTACTTGCTTGAGGTGCCAAGGTGAGAAGGTTGAAAGTTGGAAGCCAGCATATGACCTGCTCTCTAAATAAAGTAAATGGGTTTGGTAGAGTGTTTAAGAGATTCAGGCTTCCGAACGCATTACAGGGAAAAAATGAAGCAGTATCGAAACAATAGCCCATCACCATCACACACACAAAAAGCAAACTAAAACAAAACACAGTAAGTAGGAATCAAGACATCCTTTTCACCCACAAAGGTGACAGTAGTAATGACAAAATGGAGACTAAGCCAGGTGGAATAGTGCAGAGGTGTTATCCCTGGGCTGAAGAAGGCTGAGGCAGGGGAGCCACTAGTTTGAGTTCAGGCTGGCAACTTAGTAAACCCTGTCTCAAAAACAAACAAATAAACTTGTAGGGATATAGCTCAGTGGTAGAGTGCTACTAGATTCAATTCTTAGAACTGAATACAAAGAAACAAACAAAACAAAAAGAGGAAAATAACAAGAGTTGTTAAAGATGTTAAAGAATTAGAACCCAAACACATTGCTGGTAGGAACATAAAATGGTAGAGCTGTAGCAGAAAGAAGGCGGGTGGTCTCTCAACAAATCAAAATCAGAGTTACCATATGAGACCCACCTGAGCACATAATCCTGGGGACGTTCCATACTGCAATAGATGCTCCAATTAATTCAAAGCCTGTGCTCATGCAGATATTAATCCTCAGATGTTCACTGGTGCACTATTCAGGAAACTACTCCCATGCTGAGCATTAATGAATGGACAAGCAAAATAGAGCACAGTCACAAAGGGGAATATTGTTGAGCCATGAAGAATGAGATATGATAATGCCATGATGATACTGAACCTTGAACCCATCATGTCGCAGGAAGGAAACCAGCATGAAACCACACTGTCAGGTTCCTCTTCCTCATTTGGCTTTGCAGTCTCTTTCTTAAAGTCAGCACTTTCTTAGGGCTTCAGGGTTTAGAGTGTGCCTTTCATGGGACAGTTCCTTAACCTGGTGATAAGCCTCACCTTTAAGTATCCCAGCATCCCTCTCACAGCTAGTCTGTTTACGTGGACTAACTCCTCCTGGCTCTTATCTGCCTTATCTAGTTTCTGCACACCACAGTGTCCACCATCTAGAGACCCAGACAGGAAAGAAAGTAAGTCTGATAAGGGAGATACAGAGGTGGCCCTTCCAGCTACGTGTGAAGGTGCAAAAGCTGTGAGTACTCATAGAGCCTAGAGAGAAGAGCGCAAGATGCCTGCAGGGCCAGTGTGGGAGAGAGCTCAAGGAGCACAGGTACTGAGAGTTGGGAGCAAGCAGGAGAGAGACACCCTGGGGGCCGTCCCACCACATGGGATTTCTGCAGAGCTCTCCTTAGTGGACTACAGCAAGCTGGATGGTGGTCCACACAGTCCTGGCATGAGCGAGAGGCGGTCGCTGTGGTGCATGGGCCCTGTCTACGCGTGGGTGGGGCCAGTGCAGTGTGTACAGTCCTGAGTGCATCTAGCTGCCCCAAGGGAAGACAGTCACAGCGTGGAGATGGGGGAGCTGGATCAATCACACTGAGGAACTGAGAATAGATGAAAACTAGAAGCTGTGTCCGGGGGCGTACGTTCTTGTAAGGGAAAGACCACCTCAGAAAAATGATGGAGGCTACCGACTTCCGGGAACCCCCAGACCCAGTCCTAGCCCAGGTCCGGTGAATGTGTGGAGAGCTTCCTGCTACCCTGCGCCAGCAGGACCAGTCCCAGTCCAGGCGCAGCGTGGGCCGCACCCTCTCCCACCCCCTCGGGCCGCCCCCCACCACTGCGCAGTTCCTCCCCCACCCTGACCGCTGAGTAGGAGTTTCTGCTGACTTCCGGGAACCCCCAGACCCAGTCTAGCCCAGGTCTGGTGAGTGTGGAGAGCTTCGTGCTACCCTGCACCAGCAGGACTAGTCCCAGCCCAGGTGCAGCATGTGCTGGACCCTCTCCCACCCCCTCCAGCCGCCACCCACCACTCCGCAGTACCTCCCCCACCCCGCCCACCGAGTAGGAATTTCTGCCGAGTTCCGGGAACCCCCAGACCCAGTCCTAGCCCAGGTCCAGTGAGTGTTTGGAGAGCTTCCTGCTACCTTGCACCAGTGGGACCTGTCCCAGCCAAGGCGCAGCATGGGCAGGACCCTCTCCCACCCCCTTGGACCACCCCACACCACTCTGCAGCACCTCCCCACGCCGCCTGCGAAGTAGGAATTTTGCGGTGTTCCGGGAATCCCCAGAACCACTCTTAGCCCAGGTCCAGTAAGTATGTGGGAGAGCTTCCTCTTCCCCTTACTTCACCTTGCCCCCTCCAGTCACAGCTCAGGCCTGGCAT